AATCCCACTGTGGGTGTGGGTGTGTTGTTTGTTTGTTTGTTTTTTTATTTTTTTTATTTATTTATTTTTTTTTGTGTGTAAAATTGTGATCGGGGTTGGATCCCTGACAGGAATAAAATGAGGTTGGTGTGCAGTTCGTCTTCTTCTGTTTTTTTTTTTTTTTTGCAAAGAAAGAATAATGAAAAAAGGTTTCTTGGCCCACGGTTTGGTTGATGATGAAAGTTGGGATGATATATATTATTTTGAGTCGGTTGTCCATGTGGTGGATATAAAAAGATGGGTCAGGAAGAGAAAAAATAAAGGTGATGAAAAGTTTGAAAGAAATGATGGTGAAAATAAAGGAGGGACAAGGAAAGTGGCTATAGTGGTGGTATTGGGAAAGTGGGTGCAAAGTGAGAGAGAGAGAGAAGCAGTGTGGCTATCCTTCGTTGAACATCAGCACCAATCAGTTCAGCAGCCTTTTTCTCATCTTTATAGAAGTGGAGTGCTGGCACAGAGTGAATATTTAATTTGCTTAATTTGCTTCCAAGCTCCTCCTGAGCAATATCAATTTTATATATGGTGACATGAGGGGTCGAGTGTGCCAACCCAGCAAGAGAAACCCACTGTTCTCCTCCACCCATCACCAACAACACACCAACAGTTGCACTAATGAAAATACTGATGCCCACAATAAAGATGATTATATTGTTGTACCCCCAAGAAAGAAGAAGAACCTTCTCATAGAATACGGTGGACAACTCCGAGTGGGCAAGGCTGAGGGCCCACAAACGAAGGTATGAAGCTGTATTGGAGACTGCTCCAAGTACAAACTCTATCGTATGTATAAGTTGATGGACGGAAATTTCACTAAACTCAAATTCCTCCCCATGAGAATGGGAATCATGACTTGCCTCCAATTGTAATGAATCTTCTGTGCCTTGAAGTGGCACGTAGGACTGACCGCGGTGTCTATCTTCATGCTGTTTCTTCAAAAGAAGAGGCTTTGGGAGCAGCATCCATGGAACAGCAACGAGGGCCAACAACAGCAGTACAAGCTGAACTGTTCTCTGGCCAGCAAAAAACTCGTTTTCCCCAAGTTCGTCAGTGGGACTGAGGAACATATATATCAGTACGTGATATAAATCAGCTTTTGAACCAGTGCACCATTTTACAATGATGAGGAGGGAAAGGTAACCGAACAGGCTATTTAAAAATATCAGCTGGGGAACAAATTGGAACCAGATATTCAGGCTATTGCGGAAGAACTTGGCATTGAAATAGCTCAAAAAGATTCCAAGGTTCATCTGGGCTACCCCGAGAAGTATTGACATTTTCATCTTTAACGAACTGAGGAATGGCAACTCACTGCGGGAACCATGCCAGACAGGGTCCACACCAAATGGATATGTGTCACCCACCTTAATCAAGCCTGCAGTAGTAGCATGAAAAGAGTGCCATCATCAAAATCACATAGCGACCACCAAAGGTCATTTCTGTGATGTCTCCAAGCTTCTGACCAGAGAGAGAGAATGATGGAAAATGAAGAGAAAGTTGAATCTGGGGGCAAATAGGACACAAATAGATTTGGTTTTGAGCTAAAACAGAATAGAAATTTCTGGAAGAGAGATTGAGAGAGTGGTGGATTTTACCTGAAGAAGCTTGAGAAGACGATGATGGAGTAAAACTTTTTCTTCGATTTTCTGAGCAAATTTACAGAAGAGAGAGAGAGAGAGAGAGAGCTCACTAAGGACCCTCCATTTGGCAGAAAGTAACAAAAGCTTGTTTGCTGTCTGATCTGAAGATCAATGCCAATAAAATATAACACTTTGAGAGCAGAAAACAAAAACAAAAACAAAAACATAAAAAGCTTTATATCAAGAGGGATAAAAAAAAATAAAAATAAAAATAAAGAAGAAGCAAATTACCAACAACATGAGGTTTGACTAAAATACAGATTTCTCCTGATATTTGAGAAATTACATCTCACTTCTAAAGATTTATATTTAAGCCAAGTTTGGCATGATTGAAAAAAGATAAAAAATCAAAAAGTCACTATCCTATTTAAGTCACATCATCTTATTAACACATCACTTCAAACCCAACCTAAACCCAACCCATATTTCATAAAAAGTCAAAAAGTGCACTTATTTAGTCTTCCCAAACTAGGCCTTACATAACAAATTGTCTCTTAAGGTTTATATTTGCATAACAAATTACCCCATCATTTGTTATACAAATATAAGTATTAGGGGACAATTTATAATTTATCAAATCTCAAGAGGAATCTGTATTTTTATTAAATCTCAAGGGTGTTGGTAATTTGTCCAAAAAAAAATGATACATACTTTGCTCTCTTTATATTTGATAATTTTTTAAAAAAAAATTAATTCTTAAAATTTATTTATTTTTTGCTTTGATTTTTTATATTTTAAGTTTTTTTCATTTCATTCTTAAAATTAATTTTTATTAAAAATCAGATAAAAAAATATTACATAACATAAAAAAAATATATTATTATATTATAATTTAAGTATAA